TGCGGTATACATAAAAAAGGCCGAAACTAAAAATGTCGAAATGAAAAAGATCGAAAAAAAATACTGAAAGAAAAAAAATGATCGAAAGGTGATAATATCGAAAGAAAACATATCGAACGTATAAAAATATCGAAAAACTAAAAGATGGCATATATAAACAATTTAAAATTGAATTCTTTTCTATTGGTATGTAGCATTACCTTATGATATTCTTAACGATTGTTCACTGTATGATACGATTATTACAATACGAGAAACGATAAAATTTATTGAATAAAGAGTGATACGTAGAATTGATATCGTAACATGCAGAACTTGACTTTTCTTATAGATTTAATTCTGATTTACTAAATGTCAATCACTGATGATAATCCATATTTTCTTGTTTCAAATAAATGCAAGCTTTTACTGGTTTTAAATGGTATTACCTTTAAAAAATAATGAAACTAAAGCGAAAAAATATTGGGTTTCCCAAGTAGCTGGATGTGGTGTTTACGTGCGCAACAACATCCAAGATATTGTATTACATGTTACCGACAATCACAATCATTTACCATATCCAGAAAATATACCATTAAAAAGATTTAGCACTAAAGTAAAACAACGTGTGATGAAAGAAACAACTCCAATCACAAAGATTTATGAAGTAGTTGGTGCATCTGAAATGCGACCACAAACATTAGCAATTATACCATTAGCACGAGACCTACGTAGGGAGAAAATTATTGAAGCGCCTATTTGTATATTGAAAATTTCATACTAGAATCCGGTTTAACATATGCTACAAGAAAATGACACCAATTTTACCTGATTCATACATTTCTGATTTTCCTGAACATTATCGAACAATGTATAACAATGAATTATTTCTAGTTCGAGACATATTGATTCGAAGAAGAAAAGGAATGCTTATGTTAACTGTGGCAAAACAAAGCAAATAAACTTTAATAGTTCATGTACATCATTATCATATCATTTTTTTTTCTTTAGATTTTTATCTGCTCACTATATCATCTAAGTCTGATATTTAAAAAAATTTTATTTTCAATGCCCTAATAAAGAAATTTACATTTTAATATTCTAAAGAAATTCATTTTAATATTTTCGAGATTTTTTCGACAAAATAATCGTTCAACATTTTCATCTTTCGACATTTTTCATTTCGATCTTTCTTTTTCGATCTTTTTTTTCTTCGACGTTTTCAACAATTTCGATCTTTCTACTGATCGACATTTTTTTATTTCGATGTTTTTCTTTCGACCTTTTCTATTTCGACCTTTTTAGTTTCGGCCTTTTTTATTCCATTCAATATTGCTAAAATATAATATTAAAGAAAAAAAAAGAGAAATGTATAAATAATAGAGATTACATAGAAAAGCAATTGGACTTATTATCAGACGGAATGTATATTATTTTTTGTTCATTTTATCATTGACGAAATATTCGATCATATTTTAGCATTTTTTATTTGTTAAAATACATATAAAATCTTTGCAGTTGCATCTAAATGAAAATTAAAAAAAATCAATGAAATTATTTTTTTTAAGTTTCTAGTTAGTTAGATACAAATTATTCATTAACATCAATATCAGCTTTATGTATTAATTCGTAAACTTTTTCTGTAAGTTATTTATTGAATGAAAGCATATAGGATGTTTCAGTTTAGTAACACTAAGTATAACCAATAACATATTTATCAAATACATGACATGTTTCATATATATCATCATCTTTTTCTTTATTATTTTATTTTTAAAATTTTGTGCTACTTTGACAAATATATCAAAAATTAATTGTATGACTAATTTGTTATTGAATTTCTTGTACATCAGTTTCTCATGGTAATAAAACACATGAATGAAGAGTAATACTTAAAATTGATAAAGACTGCTATCATTATTTCATCAAAATAAAACAAACATTTTCACATAGAGTTCTTATGCTGCAATCACATATATTCTTATAATCTTTATTAAAAGATGAAAATATTTTATGATATTGACACATTTTATCAAAACCACTGGATCTTGTTTGAGTTTTCGTTTTAATGAAATCAAAATAAACATGATATAATTCTAAATGATGAATAAAGAAAAAATAAATAAATATAAGTTTTTCCTTATCCAGAAGAAAAACAAGAAAAAGAAAAAGAATGAATTATTTTTGTGTTATTGATTTCGATGATTATCTAAATACTGTAATTTCGATAATAATATAATTTTCTTTTTTTCTATCTTTTACTTATATGACTATAAATCGAGAGGGAAGAGCAGTAGGAAATAAATAATAGAAAAGAAACGAGATAACTGCTGTGAAAATCATATTTATTTTTGTTAATTTTTCATCAGAAAAATATTTACATTCAAGCTTTCGCGGCCCGTCTGGTCACATCATCAGGAACAAAATGAAAGATTAGATTTTTGTAGAAAACAAGAACAAAAGGAAGAACAAAATCAGCATAAATATACGACGAACAAGTTTTTACAAATTATCAGTATATCCATTCAGAGAAGAGTTGAAGTGGAAACCAGAGCTCGAAAACGAATCGAATC